GCGTTCAAACAAACAAACAAAAAAACAAACTCTTACGCTTTATATAATAGTATAAGATTAGAAAGAAAGAAAGAAAAATTGTTTATTTGCACACCGTCATAAAGTACAATAACACAAAAAAACGCAAGATGGCGCTAGAGCTCAGCTTAAATGAAGTACTTAGCTCATTAGTACTTCACTTACCCATTTATGTACTTCCATAAATGACTCGCCTACAATAAGCTACTGTCGTATGGATGTATGTAGGGTAGGGGTAATTTCGTCCATAATATTGCCCACTTTTTTTAACCGTCACCTTCAAATTATGTCCCATTACCATTGAAAAACATTTTTATAAAGCCCTTTTTCCTATAATAATTGCATTTGTGTTTGAAAGCACTGCCGATGCAGTTTTGTAAAAATTGAATTTAGGTAAACCAATTTAGTATCATAACTTCGTAGGTAATTGAATGTTTATCTTTTTGATGAACTAGAATTGAACGAAAACTATTAACTAATGTTATTATTTCTACCCGTGCCGCTCTTTATTGTTTGTTTTTTATTATTTTCGATAGATTTTAATTATAGAATTTTTTTGTAACAAACTTTTGATGATATATTGATTTGTACTTATAACTTTTCTCCGAATGATACGTAGCGTTATGTCTATAGTTGCGTATAAAAATACATACATAACATCACGCCTTTTATCCCCGAAGGGGAATTCCAGGCTCCCTGCTACTGTATTTTTTTTAAAAACCTAGTAATACTTTGCCCGACCCGGGAATCGAACCCGATACCCCTTGCCCGGTAGTCGCACTTGCGTATAAAACGTACATAATAAATTATCTTGATTAGTAATTTGAACACGAAATTACTTTGTACAATCTTTATAATATTAGAACAAGCTTACCAAACTTTCATATTGGCTGTACGAAAGTACACCACTGCCTTAATATTATTGATACTGATTGATACAAAATCCTGAGATTTTGATTGCATTCACTCTGATTTTGAAGATGGCATCCTCAAAATTCTGTTAGACATTTTCCTTGTGTGCATTCTAAAGTACATACAGTTCTAGAACAATCTATATTGAAGTAGATAGATCCTGTGCATCATTTTGTACTTGAGAACCGGTTGTGGCTAGTACAAATATGCTTCAATTGGCAAATTGATGCTATGGAATATTACATGCAGGGGGTGCCTCGGTTTCCGTTCGGGCTTTGATTGGGTTATGATCCGACTATGCAGTCTTGAGCTCGGAGAAACTATAGTTAGTATAATTTCTGTATATTGTTTTTGTAAATATATAGCCTGGCACAATACGCACACTTATTGTGCTAATTAGTGCAATACTCTAAATGTGGCGTCGCAAGTGGTCTTACATAATAGTTTCATCTGAAGTTTGAAACATATTTTAATGAACATACTTTGCCATAATCTCCTGCACTGAGCAGCGTGTAGATGGTTGAATTTTGATTGCAACGCTTCAAAGGTGCGCTTATTTCTTTTGTTACTATGAACTAGCTTTTCTCTGCGACTTCGTCCGAGTATAATAATGACTGAATTAAAAGTAAAGTCTTTTCTAAGGTTAATTATATATCCTTTCCCATGTTGCAAAGCATTGTTCTACCGAATTCCAATCAAATAGGTACAACGGTTGAATACTCGTCGTCGTCCTTTTTCGGGTCTCAAACTATCGTTGTACTGAATTCCACTGAAATAAGCTCAATGGTTTAAAGTTTAAATTTTAAAAGATTGAGAGATCCAGAAGCTTAACGCGGTTTTCCCTTTCCGTAAGATTTTCGGGATGTAAACTGTCATACATCTTTTCTCATGTCTCAAATTATCGTTGTACCGCACTCAAATAGGTTCAGTAGGTTAACCGATAGGGAGTTCCCGTTCTTATAGGATTTCCAGGATATTACTCTGTTACTAATGATGTGGGCGGGTGTGTATCGGTGCAATGTTACTACTGCACATTTTTAGATGGCGGAATTATTTTGGTGATGATAACTGTAATAGTCTCTAATCGCTTTTATGTTGATAATAATGCCCTCTACAAGACTAGTACATATTTACCTTGGCTCTTTTGTCCGAATTTCCACAGCGTAAGCAATACTAAATAATAATATATAAGGAGATCTTGTAATAGTTTTTCACAAATCTATTTAACATTACCTGAAGGAGACCGGCAAACTTTCATAGGAAATTGGCCTCGACGGACTAAAAGGAAATACTCAGGGTTTTCAAGGAATATTAGTATTCCTTCCTGTGTAATTAGTTTTTTTGATTAACCTACATGAAAATATACGAATTCTAGTTAGCTGAAAATATTTTATACACGGAGTTCTCTCTTTATAGTGCTGTCAACCTCTTTAAATGCCGCGGAGGACTTAACGGGTTGCCGAGGCTCCGGCTCGAAGGCTAGGAGTAGGAACGGGGTGGTTTTTAATCAGTAAGAGTCTGACACTCCCTCCCGCCTCACACAGGCGGGAGAAGTCATTCGATGATTTTCCCCTCTTAAAAAAACCTCTGAATAGGTACCTCTTATTGTTGACAAAAAAAATGTCTGTGATCCATAGACTCTGTAAACTCAACAAAAAAAATACAGATGACACAGGAATACCTATATTATTCTTAATATTATATATTTGTTTGTTTGTCCATCATTAACTACCAACATCCTTGATTGCCAGTCAAGGCGTTTTGCTAGTTTTTCACACACCTGGTTACATTATATGAATTTTCACACCGTTCCCCTTTTTCAATTTTTATAGTCTTATGTTCATCAGGAGTAATGTAGGATTCAACGGTAAAATAATTATTCAAATCAGACCGATAGTTTCGGAACGTATTCAATTCAAACAAACAAACAAAAAATCAAATCTTTCCTCATTATAATATTAGTGTAGATTAGTGTAGATGTCTACACCGATAAAACATTACAAATACCTTATAAATATTAGATTGTGATATAGAACACGAATCTACTTATCTAAAATACATCTTAGGTAGGTTTTCCTAATTACCTACCTAAACACTATAAATGTACTTTTATATGCAATACAACAAACACACAATAAGACAAGCATTCATTCTTGAAACCGAATTCGCATTGTATTCAAAACTACACCATCTCGTATATTTATACGCCAAACTTCTCATCACACGTCCCAAACAAAGTATTTTTTTAAGTGAAATAGTTCTGTATAAAATAATAAACCTGAAATCAAACGTACTATAGTTGCATATCAGTGCGATGCGTAGTATCTCGAGGTGAAGTTTAATTCGAAGATTACTATAGTGCATAGCGGTGACAGGTGGCCCTATACTATAATGACCGTGTTCCTGTTTCTCGCTCCGTGATATATGAGTGCTGTAGGAATACTTCGCCATTATTCACCGCGACTTCAGTTGGTATTGACGTTTACGGCTATATTTGTTACACTTTTATATAAGACGTACATTGTCGACAACTGTCCTAGCGTCGAGCCACTATGGTACGTATGGGGCCTGTTTACCGATCTATACCCGGTATTCTTTTGGGTTCTGTGTTTCAATTTTAGACCTTTGTTGTTAGTTTTTCGTTTCATATTGCGTTGACAAAGGATATTGCTCGTCGTTCATACATAGCTCGCCTAAGAACCAACGAGGTATATTTACTTTTTGAGTTTTAGATAATGTATTTATTCGATTGAACCTAAATTAAAACAACGGACACTTTTGAGAATTCTGAAAAATGCAAACCATTTTCGGATTTTGGGGTTATTATTACGTCAATAACTTCCTTCAATTTCCATGCTTACTACGTAAGTTCATCACTACATAGTATAAAACAAAGTCGCTATCCGCCGTCTGTCTGTCCCTATGTATGCTTAGATCTTTTAAACCACGCAACGGATTTTGATGCGGTTTTTTTTTAATAGATAGTATGATTCTTAAGGAATGTTTATATGTATAAAACATGCATATTCCACCCGTGCGAAGCCGGGGCGGGTCGCTAGTTTATAATTAGTCAGGTCGTCGTTCTAAGTAGGTTCGTATCAGTAAAACTCAGTCAGAGGTCGATATTACAAGAGAAATCGCAGTTCTTTGTTCACGCCAAGTTGTTAGATAAACTCGGAAAAGAAAAGTAAACAATTTAATTACGCAAGCGCAGATTGAGCACAGAATGCGCGCCAAGTGACATTATTACCAAATGTCATCTATCAATTCATCAACTGTCAGTGTCGATATTATTGTTCGATTCAGATAGCGCTTTCGATCGAGTCTTTTGATACGCCATATTATGGTTCTACGCCATCATAGCGGACTATTTGTAACTAAAAATTATCATCTTATATCAAGTGTTGAGAATACTGATCCTTGTCTGTGTCAAACTCTCATTAAGGGTGCTGTTACAAAGACTTGGTTGTATGAGCTATAATACCTTTGCCTGTTAAAAACCTCAAATTGAACCAAAAAGTAATAGAACTATCACCGAGTATTATGACGAAAGCTGAGGACGAAAGTGAATCCTTTTTAATATGCTTTCGAAATGAAAAAGTATCCGTTCTATAGAAGTATTTGTAATGCATATTATGAAAAAAACTAAGAATTATAATGTTTCATGCGTGTTGATTCATAGGCCATTTTAAACAATGTCCTTTGCTATAGTAGGTACTTAAATGTAGTTTGTAATGGGTAGCGTTTGTCTCACGTAATCCAAGTTATCCATATTTTCTGAAGGTTTTCAAGTAGTTTAAAAGTAAAGTAGTTTAGGTTATTTTCCTATTATATTTGCTTTCAAAACGCAAGAGTTCTGTATGATAGTAAAGTTGATTCAAAAGTTCTCAGTAAGTTGCAAATGGTTCTCAGCGACGTTACTAGATGGCGTTAGTGGTAGCGAAATTTCATTAGGATGTTTTCATGAACATTTAATTTCTATCTTCACAAACACAAACAGAATCTAAATTAGACGAAATAGCTTATTGCAATAGTTAATTAATGTTATATTTTTTATGTTTGCCAAACAGGTAGGGGGGAACGGGAAAGCTCGAGATTTTTTCGAGAGTTCGTCGGACTACAAGCCCGGCATGACAATACCTCAGAAGTACAACACTAAAGCGGCTGCTATGTACCGGCAAAAGGTAAGATTTCACTTCTACAGCTCATTTTAGGTGGCGAATGAATTTAATTGGAGTTTCATAAGTCATAAGTCATTACAAGTCATCAGGTATAGGTATAAAGGTGCTTACACAGAGGTCTACTCCGGTGTCGAATTCGAAGTCACGTTAGATTTGTGGCGACAAACAACACATTCGGAATCATACCACGGTTAAGTACACCTATTAATCAATAAAATCATGAATACGCTTTTAAAATTAAAGTTTTTGGATTTACCATGGAAACCCTTAAACACTATAAGAACCTTCTTTCAATTACTTACTATACGAGAAAGCTATAAAGTTTTTATGGCGTTTGTTTGGTGCCATACGTGTGGTTCACATGAAACATTCGTGATGAAAGTAAGACTTGTAACTACTTTCATTCAATTTTCATTAAAATTAACTCAAACGAAAATCAAACGACACCTATTTTGGTTCCGTCGAAATAACATTAAACATCCGAAGAATATACTATTGTACAACATTAGAGTAGGGTTCTGAATATCATTAAACAGTGTACTGTTAATTTCCTTTTTTTGAAATATTATATCTTATTTCTTTCCCTTTTTCATTCACGAAACTTCATAAAAAATATAATTGTCGTAAGAAGTCTGCTAAGTTTCGAACAGAGCTTGGTTTTTCGCCGAATCAGAGTGGGCCTGTTTCGACCTTCGCACCAGTTCGTCACGCCTAGACGCAGCTTTTTACCAATTTTTTAACATTTGGTTTCACCCTACAATTTTTATTTGTTTATTCTGTAAATTTTAAACAGCTTTGGAATTTACATATTAAATATTTGTTGTACCTACAGCAAAAATTTCGATAAAAAATGCTGTTATTGAAAGTACTACGTGATTGGTGTTTTACAAAAATTTTGTATCCGTATCATGAGACATGCTAAATTAACTAAAAATTACGAGGTTCACACGTAAAGTTCGCTCAGTATGACGTCACATATAAAAACACGTTTAGTACTAAAAAAGCCGCAATGCTTAGAATGTAATAAATAAGGTTAAGCGTACGATTAGCACTCTATAAAGAAGGCGAGCTACTCTATAAACTGACCAAGCTGTTTGAAGTTTACAGGACTTACTTTCGACGTGTATATGATTAAGTTTTTTTTGCGATAGAATTTATTATGTATCCATATACATAATTCGATTCATATTAAAACAGAGTCTCTATTCTAATCCATATTAGGACAGGTACTAATCCTTTTAGGTACTACGTAAATTTCCATTTGGAAGGCGTTTTGTTTTTTATTGTTCAGGCGTCGGTTTTAGCGAATGTTTCGCCTAGTGCTATGCGATGATAGACCATTCCAATAAGCTACGCATAAAAACGCCTAAGTTATGACCTTGAGGAAGCATACTTACTGGTAAATCATTGCAGGGGGCTTACTCTTGAATCCAATTCCGATTGATCGACATTAGTATTGTGAAATTTCGTATTCTCGAGTTGCAACACTAGCGCCCATTGCATCCGTATTGCGTGGATATTCAATGGTATTGAGTTTAACTTCATATTCCGTACTCTGAATGCTATTTTAACAGTTACGATAGGGGTTGTATAGTTTTGACATTGAATAATCATTGGATTGCAATTGCATAGACATTGAGATTGGTTTCAAGAGTAAGCATCCAGGTCGTTTCTCGTACAACCAAATCCCGTTTTATAATGCAATATGCAGTATTTTCCTACTTATTATAATATAATTAAACATCAGCACTGTAGCTAGGTTTGTGTCTGCGCTAAGCTTAATTAAGTTGTGGTTTTGGCCTAGCTCTTGCTTCTTGCTATGAGAATGTCAGTGGTTTATCAAATAGTTCGTAGCTCGAAAATAATTAATAAAATGTAAGTATATACACGACAAATATTTGGGATGATTTCTTTTCTTTGTATCCTAGTTTTCAATGCTGTTTCATCTATACAAATGACTGCGCGATTGGTGCAGCAGTTGGGTTAGATTAGCTGCTGCTGTGTGCGTGTCTCGGGTTCGATTCCCGCTCGGAACAACTTTAGATCCGCAAATTGTTGTTCCGGTTCTGGGTGACGTATATTATGTGAATTCAAAAAACCAGAAGAAAGCTAAAATATGGAGGATTTTTGTTAGTATTTATAATGATATCTATAAAAGCTGTTACTAAGGTAAGGCTCTTTATCAAACGGAGGAATCGTGCAGTAACGAGATGAAGACATCGAAAGGTAAGAAAATACAAGTACTTCTACCTATTTTCAATGAGATACAATTTATAGTTGGATGTTTGCAGTAGAATATTCTTCAATATTGTCTTACTATTTACCCGCCAACAGGTGACCTTAACGAGAATCAGATGCTTCTAAGATTCTTATATTATTAAACGAAAAATCACACCTTCAATCGAGTTTGAAATATGTAATTGATTCTACACCTATTGTGTTTACTTAATAAGGAAAATTATACCTACTATATTTGTGATCTGTTTATTTCTATATCGATACGTCCTTAAATGCAGCATTAAACGTAAAGCCTAGTTTCAAAGCGTAAATTTACTATGTGTTCTTTGTTTTCGGTTTTAAAGATGTTCATAAATGCAGTTAGTTAAATCGAAGCCCCCTCCTAATGGACAAACTGCGTTCTTTACTAAGTCTAAACTGGTTAGGAAATTAGTAGTTGACAATGCTTCTTATATTGATATATTACATAGGTTCACGGGAACCGGTGGTAGCTGTAGCGATAATGATAGCGATGAATGAACTAAGAATGTTAGTAATTACATTCTTAGTAATTAGTATTATCGACTGCCTCGTTGGCCGAGTGGTCGCAAGTGCGACTGCCGGGCAAGGGGTCTCGGGTTCGATTCCCGGGTCGGGCAAACTATTACTGGGTTTAAAAAAATCTCAGTAGTAGCACAGAGTCTGGAATTGTGCCCTGTATATGGCAATAGGCGCACCCCCTATTACATGGGACTCATAACATAAATAGTGAAAAGTGGGTGTTACATTGTACAGTGGTATAGTATAATGTGCACCTCTGCCTACCCCTTTGGGGATAAAAAGCGTGATGTTATGTTATGTAGTATTATCGATTTTGAATGATAACCTATCAAAAGGTAGTTTTTTACACGTTTTTCATTTTTTATTTTGCAGTCATGGAACTTTGTCATTAATATGTAGAATTAGATCGATGAATGTACAATACTATGGTACCGTAAGTTGAGCTGGTTTAATATTTACAATTACCAAACCTTTTTATAAAATAGGGAGGTGGCTGATGAAACATTGCGCTACTATGTAGTAATCATTTTGAGTTTTGGCTAGTATGATAATTACTCCTGATTACAAAGACATTCACGATTAAAAGTGTTTTTTGTTTTGTTACTATTTAAAGAAAATCTTGTTGTTCTGACAGTTTTATGTCAAAGTCAAAGGCACTTTGATCGTCAAAACGAAATATGTAAATATTAAATAATAAGAAAAAATGTCAGTCTGTAGGTCAGTCCTCTAGTGAAGCTATTTGCTCGTTCCAAAGTGTAGATTCCTATGGAGAAGAACGAGCAAGAAACTCCATAGGTTACTCTTTTTCAATCATGCTTACAATACAATTTTTGGTTACATTCTTTCGTTGAGTTCAATAATGTGAGAACAATGTAATACCAATATTTGGTCAAGGATCTTAATTGTCCATCGTCGAAATTGTATGATTGAACTGAATTTTTTTTTATTGTCTAATGTACATTTTCTATTCATTTGTTTCTGCAGTCTGTCGCGTCTTTCAATGGAGAGGCAGCTAGTTAGTAGTTATAACTTGTTGACAACATTTTCAGGGATTGTTAGAAGCTCGCTTTATTTACTGCCTAAACTTCCGATAGTTTCTATTTACTAAGTTGTGATAACTGTTAACTATAAAATGAAAGTGATGTTAGTTAGGTGGATGTAAACCTATCTTGCAGCCACTTTAACCGTCAGTTTATTTGTACCATTGTTGCATGCGCTTAGGCGTATTGTCAAATACCTTGCTAGCGATCTTGTTGTTAATTTGGACAGACCATAATCGGGCTAAAAGACTTAATTATTGAATTTTTGAAAATTTAGTATTAATTACATCAACAGCCTATAAATGCCAACTACTGAGCAAAGCCTCTTCTCACACGGAGACGATTTGAGCATTAATCATCACGCTTGCTCAATGCGGGTTGGCGATTACAAACTTATAATTAGAAATTATAAGCCCAGGTTTCCTCACGATGTTTTCCTTCACCGTTTGTCAGTGGTGTCTGAATAATCTTAGAAAGTACATATAACTCGGAAAAAGTCACATTGTTACTTGCCGTTGGTAGGTTTCGAACCCGCACCCTCATGCATTAGAAGCGGGCGTGTTAAACCTCCGGGCCACCATGAAATTCATGTACCTATTTATTAGTGTAAATTTTCTTCAGACGGCGCCCTCAATTGGTGTCAGTGGTAAAATAAACACTACGCAAAATAGACTGTATTACTATTACAATGCACGTCTGCTCGTCCTTTCACATAACTTGATATATAAGATTTCTTCAATTTTCTAAAGGAAATATCCAATGCTTTCCTTTATAGTAAAATTACCTCCTAACAACCACTGTGACTGGGCTTCACTAATGAGTCCTATTTGCTAGACGTGCATTTTGTAAGATTCTTTGAAAACCTGTCACTATGTTATTCTACAAGCTCAAACGGGTGTAATTTAAAATTACCTTAGTAAAATAATATGCCCATATGAGACAGACACAGATTATCATTAGGTCAAGTTGACATTCCTCATTTTTTATTTAAATTATGTTTAATAGCTTTTGCTACTTTATACAGAAATTACAATTTAAATTTTCAAAGATTGTTTTTTTCTCCAAAGATTGCGGTTGATCTTATAATCAACTTGTTAGTAGATCTAGAATCTAGAATTCTGCCCGGCAAGGCAATATGATACCTGATCGATGAATAAATACCCCTTCGGGAATAAAAGACGTTGCGCTATGTTAATATTATATGTAATCGGCCGTCAGCCATATTTTTGTCGGTTTTATATTCGCTTTTGAACCTGTTGAAAATCGCATTGGGATTTTCAACCAGATTTCCATTCAGCCTGTCATATGTTCCCTTCCGTTTGTATTTAGCCCGTCGTTTTGTATTGGTTAATTGCTCCTGGTACGCTTTCTGTAATATCAGCTCTGGTTTGTTTGACATGACAAGCAAATTGGCTACAATTCAATTCGATATTGTAAACATTACCTCTCAATGGGACGGGTAACGGATAGTTACGATATCATCCAATTTATTTCCAAACTGTTTCCTGCGACTTCGTCCGCGTATAATAATGACTTCTGGCAAAATTTGGATTTTTTAAGTAATCTACTCAAAGGTTAATTGCAACAATTCTCATCAATCAATTAAGTTGTATTTATTACGAAATTTTGTTTATTTTCGTGATTTTAAAAACAACCCCACAAGGATTTTACCCTATAGTATCCACTCCCGTGAGGTTTCAATAATTAAAACAGTATTTAAATTCCAATCAAATAAGTATAGCGGTTGAAAACTATATCGGGCATCATTTCCCGAGCCTCAAACTATCGTTGTACCAAGTTGCACTCAAATAGGTTCAGTGGTTTAAGCAATAGACAGTCCCGGAATTTTAACGCATAGTTCCTGTCCCGTGAGATTTCCTTTCCAGTGCCAGTGTTTCAAAATCTTGTTGAACCGAATTTCAATCAAATAGGTTCAGTGGTTAATAAAATTTGTATTCAGCATCTTTGCATACCCTAATGATATTATATCATGATAATAAAGAAATAAATTGTCAATAAACCATTGGCATGATACTCACTAGTCAAAAATATGTCAGATAACATAGAAAGGCATACTTAATATTATAAATTTGTTTACGTCTGTTAATTTTGTTAGGAATTGAAGTGATTTTTTTACTGAGTAGAGATAGTAGAAAGGATTGAAAGTAGCATACTTTCCTAAAACAGGGACTGTGAGTTTGTCTGGAGCATTTCGTAATTTTCAAGAAACCTAAAACTAGTATCATATTTGTGACCAGCAATAATCGGGCACCAAATTTTATTTATCTTTTGTAAACCTTAAATCTTTTCTTTTTATAGTATTATAATTTCTATATTTTGCATTCTACAGATAGAGAATTGACAGAATCATTTCCTCGCAACTGTAAAATGATATTTACGGTACGGTTGTAATTGATCAATTTCTCACCTTAATTTCTGTGAAAGGCATCATTGAGTGTTCACGTTCTGTGCCGTCAAAATGTTTCGAAGAGAATCCATTAATTGGCTTGCTAGACCGACGGCGACGGTTCGACGGTGTGTGACACATGATGTCAAAAGCTCGGACTGTTGAAATTCATAACACATGTTATCGACGGCTGAATAAATAATTTTTGACTATGTAAAAGTAAGGAGTACGTATCAGGTGGCGTTGTACTGAGATATAAAATCAATATTGTTGCATCAATGGCCAGTTTTCATAGAGCTTCCCATAAACTTTTGTATGGAAACCGCTCACTTTACTCTTAAGTTAAATATTGAAGTTTTAACAACTTTTCCCTTAGTACTTTACAAATTCAGTCTACAATTTTGAATCCTTTGCCTGGCTCTAGCCCGTCACTTAGTGAGTCTATGTCATTGTTTGACCCATCCGGCCTCAACTTCCGACGACCGTCTTTCTTCCCTTTGACTGCGTCTTTAAATTAGTTTTCAATATGACAGTTCGGACTATCGTTTATAACAAAATTATTGGTAGGTACTATACAAGAGCTTTGTGAACTCGCGAATCAATAAATAAAGATAAAAGTTGGTTCATTTCATTTCATTTATTCAATAAACAATTTACATTGTATCTGAATGTCTTCATAATCATAAATTACATTGCAATATAATCCATGCAGCATGGATTAGTCATATTGAATTCACATTGCAAATAAAGTAGTATTTTTATTTTTGCGTACTTATTTGTTTAATCGGGGTCAGAACAATAGTTCACATTAACACTTAGGTAACTTAACACATGTAGTTTACTGGGCTAACAAAACTTTCCACTTTAGACAAGAGATTTTAAGCAAACACGAATCAAGGTAAGTACCTACAAACTGATGAAAACGTTCGCGAAATCACTGCCTCAATCTGTCAGTCGGTGCGAACTACTGTTGAGTTAAAAGAGATAGCGAGCTCAGATAAATAGGGACATCCGTCGGTAATTGGCTCGCGAGCGGACTTATAGCTGTGTGTGTGTCTTGTTACGTATTTGTGCACAGAATATGACATTTAATCAACAGTTCAACACATAGGTATCTATGAGTTCATGGTGTTTCTTGA